GGGGCTCGAACTCACGGACCGCGAGATCGTGACCTGGCTGAAGTCGGACGCTTAACCGACTGAGCCACCCAGGCACCCCTCATTAATACATTTTAACTACTAATGGATTTCATTGTATGAATACTTAATTTATTTATCCATTCACCTGACAATGGGCATTTAGATTGTTTGCAGTTTTTCATGGTTCCATACTGTATAAGAATGTTCATTCTTATACATGTCTCCTTATGCACACTGTGGGAGTGTCTCCCAGTGATATTGCTAGATTGTAGGATTCCGTAATTTTAAAAATATGAAATATTTCATATATATACACAAAGGTTTAAATAATGCTATAACAAACACCTTTGTATCCTCCATCCAGACTTAAGGAATAAAATACGAATACAATTAAGCCCTGAGTACTTCTTTCTCTAATCACATGCCATATTTGCTTCACAGTTTAATTCAGTGTTTATCATTCCCTTACATTTCTTTGTCCTTTTACTACATATGGATGTCATGATTTACTTTTTTAAGTTTATTTTTATTTATTTTGAGAGAGAGATAGCGAGCAAGTAGGGAGGGGCAGAGAGGGAGACAATATCCCAAACAGGCTTCGCTCTGTCAGTGCAGAGCTTGATACAGGGCTCAAACTCATGAACCCTGGGAGCATGACCTGAGCTGAAGTCAAGAGTTGGAGGCTTAACCGACTGAGCCAACCAGGTGCCCCTGTCATGATTTACTTTTAAATACATTTTTGAACTCTGTTCTTTTTTTTTTTCCTATTTAAAAAATTTTTTTAATGTTTATTCATTTTTGAGAGACAGGGCATGAGTGGGTGGGGGGAGGTTGGTGGAGGGGCATGGAGGGGCAGGGAGACACAGAATCTGAAGCTGGCTCCAGGCTCTGAGCTGTCAGCACATGATCCATGAGATTGAACTCATGATCCATGAGATCATGACCTGAGCCGATGTTGGACGCTAGGTTGACTGAGCCTCTCAGGCAAGGTGCCCTCCTTTTTTCCCCTATTTTAATATCTGTAATAATACTAATTAATTGTAGTTTTTTTTACCTGGTTTGCTGCAGACAACGGTCTGCATCTTACGGGAGAGATCAGTCAGCTCACATAAGAAGTTATACACACGATGGCACTCGAGTTCATCCCAACCTGCTGTTAAGGTCTAAGAATAATAAAATAAAGGAAATATTGCAGATGTTCAGACCATCAAATCAAAATGTAAGTCACTACTGCCTTATGAACATAATAGCTGTATCATATGATTGAGGTGATGTGCAATTTTTATGCACTATGGAATATTTAATAAGAAAATTTATATAAACAAATCCTAGAAATGCTCCAAAATCCAGTTTCTTTTTGGTTGTAAAGGGAGTATCCTTTCAGAGAACTTTCAAATGGTACTGAATCCTGAACTCTGACAGTATGAGTAAAATAACAAAGCCAAAACCCCAGAACATAGCATTAGCTATCTGACTCACAACATACTGTAGTTTAGTTTTAGACTTCAACAGAATCCCTTTAATCTCCTCTAGCTATCATTTATGATATTACATACAAGTGATAATGATTTCATTTTAATATGACAGTTATGACTATTTATTAATGACATTTTGATGTGAACAAGTAAACATTTTTATTAGGACAGAGTTCAATAATTATCATTGAACAAACCATAATGTAAAGTTATACATATATGAAAAGGAAATTCAAATGGTATACCACTATAGTTAGATTCTCAAAAGGTTGACTAATCATACAAATTTTTCTTAAAATAGTTGAACTGGATTTTAGTAGTTTAAAAATTAATCTCATTTTCTCTGGAAGGACATAGAAGAAACTGCTAACAACAGTTACTTCTGTTGAAGGGAACTTGGTAGATAAGGGACAGGCCTTGTTGGGAGATTTACTTTTCACTTTGAATTTTATATAAATATATGTGTTTATATTACCTGTCCCTATCCCCTCTCCCAAAGCAAAAGTCTATCTCCCTGGAATCTGGGCAGGCAGATGGTGGCTGGGAGGCTGGGATATAGAGCAAGATTGTTATAAACATTGTAAGGTTGTTTAAGTTTTAAATAAGTTATTACAGCTGATCCTTGAACAAGGCAGGGGTTGGGGCACCGACACCCCCTCACAGTCGAAAATCCACATATAGATTTTGGCTCTCCCAAAACTTAACTACTAATAGTCTACTGTTGACCACAAGCCTTACCAATAACATAGTCAATTGACATATATTTTGTATGTTATATGTATTGTATACTGTATTTTTACAATAAAGTGAGAAAAAAATGTTATTCAGAAAATCATAAAGGGGCGCCTGGGTGGCTCAGTCGGTTAAGCATCCAACTTTGGCTCAGGTCACGATCTCAGGGTTCATGAGTTTGAGCCCCACACATGCTCTCTGCTGACAGTGCAAGGCCTGCTTCGGATCCTCTGTTTCCCTCTCTCTCTGCCCCTCCTCCGATCTCTCTCTCTCTCTCTCTCTCTCTCTCTCAAAAAGAAAAATAAAATAAGAAAGAGGTAATTCATTTATAGTACTATACTGACTTATTGAAAAACATCTGTCTATAAGTAGACCTGGACAGTTCAAACCTGTGTTGTTCAAGGGTATACTGTACATTTAAACTGCTTAGAAAAATGTAATAGATTAATAATATATCATTAATATTGAATAACATTAAATAATAGTATTGTTATCTTCTTTGTTTATAATAAAAGATTAGTCAAAAACTTTTATTTTTTTATTTTTATTTTTTTAACGTTTTATTTATTTTTGAGACAGGGAGAGACAGAGCATGAACAGGGGAGGGTCAGAGAGAGGGAGACACAGAATCTGAA